CACACACACACACACACACGTATGTTCTTGAACCCTGTGGGGACCTTCCATTGATTTCCATTCATTTTTTTTAGACTTTATATCCTAACCCTGACATTTACCCTATAATTAACCTCACAGGTACCTTCCTGACCCTAAAACTAACATAACCCTTGGTCCTAAACCTAACCCTACAACCGTAATTTGCATTTGGACCCAAACCAATTCATATTGGTCCCCATGAGGCTGCTTTTTTGGGGGGAAATTGTCCCCACTTTTAGGAAAAACCCGACACACACACACACTTTTCTTTGTATCTCTTGGAATTCAGCTTGAGGTGGCTTTACAGGGTTATGGGGGAATCAAAGGGGATTATGGGTGGTTACACCGGCGACTAATCTCAAAACACTGGTCATTAATCTGCTTTGCATATTGGATTTTTTACAGTTTCATTTTACAGCCTGACATCAGAAACTCCAGTTGCTATGTGACGGACATTATAAAAGAACATRTTAGCGAAATGATGGACAGTTTGGTTCGCCTTTCTATAAATCCGTTTTCAATGCATTTAGTTTTCAGAAAAAAAAACAGTTTACGTTGCATATCACAGCAAACTCAAAGCTATTTTATCTAAAAATCTCATAAGACTTTAACTATAAAAAAAAGAATTGCTGTAAGTTTACCTCCTTTGACACTTTACTACATCATCTTTCAAAATATTTGACATTTCTTATGCTGCTGTGTCGATTTATCATCTGTTTAGCTTTCAATAAGAGACTTATGGGATCTGTAGTCCACAAAGAGATCCCAGATGGTTCTGCTGAGGAAAACGCACACGTCTGAGTGTGCGTATGCATTATTGTTCATTAAAAAAATGAGGATTTACAGCACAAAGCTAGACGTGGCGCTAGACCGCAGCACAATCATGTGCGACCACGTAGCGTTGGGAGAACGGCTGTGATGGAAAAACCAGCCAGAACCGCTGAAACCAGCCACAGCTCCATTTATTTAATAGCTGCTTCAACCATTAAGACTCTAATTACTGGTTCCATCATTTCTACCTGAAAACCACAAAAATGTAGCCCATTCTCTGACCGTATATCGTGCTTTTACACCTCTGAGAGAAACAACACATAGGCCTGCTCGATAATCAGCAGAAACGCAACAACAAAAGACAGATGTGGTTTTTGAAGGCGAAATGAAGAAAGTGTAAATCTGACGTGAAATATGACTCAGAGATTGGAGACGTGTGTTCGCTCTGGGTTGGTTGTAAACCTTTAAACGGGACCAAACGACTATAAATGGAGAAGCTGGTTAAATTCGGGGCTTGTGGTCAACTGCAGCTGCAGATTTTCCTTCTCCTATTTCTCTACGGCTTCCATGAGGGTACTTATTGAAGCATCTGTGTCACCAGATGTTTTTCTGGTAAAAAAAAAWGTTAGCATTTTTCCCCCTCAATTACGAGTAAATAATTCGCACACGTACAAAAAGTATTCAGTCAGATGAGGCTATAAATTGAAAAAAAAAGACAAAACAGGTTTAAAAGTAGTTCAGTTTTTGTTGTTTGYGCTCACCTTGTGGTTCTTGCCATGCCTGTAGATCATCCAGTCCTCTCCATTAGTGCTGACTTCCAGCTTAAAGGTGGTGACGTAATAAACCTTCTGAGTTTCCTTTGAGACGGCGCCCTGAGTGGCGATCCCTGTCAGGACCTTCAGAGTATGGAGGTCCACCTGTTTGTAGGGAAAGAGGACTTTTATTTAATCACAGCAACATTACGTAAGAGAAACTTCACTTCTCATATATTTTCAATCCCATGTTCAGATCTTCATAAATTAAAAAAAGCATCAAGTCTTTAGAAAAGGATTTCTTAGCATCCCTCTTCTTCCTTCCTCCCCTCATTATTTGCTTTATTGTGTTTTTGTTTTTCCTCTGGGTTAGGGAATCAATAAAAAAAGATCCAGGGCTCATTTTAATTTCCTCCAATACAAAAGCCATAATCACATTCCATCCTGATTGTGGACATTATGCTGCGTGCCTAGCATATAGGGATCATGATGACCAGCTCAGCTTTTTATGCTTATTTTTTTTTTTAGAATTTATGTATAAAATAGGGGCTGCAGTGCTGCCACAAAGGTGTTTGAAAGGTTGTGAACACACCGGGCCTCATGCGAGAACTGTTCGTACGCACAGATTTGATCTTAAGTTGTGCGTACGAGAGATTTAGGAGAATTTGTGGCA